TTCACCCTGATTCATAAGGAAAAGGGGATGGCGTATTCTCTTAGTTACTACTTAGTTGGAAAAAATCTTGATACATGCTACAGTATAGCTGAAGCTTGAAGAAATTGTGTTATGTTGTTGAAGGTAAATCAATAAATCAATCACAAAAGGACAAATGTTGTATGGCATAAAAGATAAGGCAAATAAGTTTATTAGCGTTTACCAGAGGGAGATGGAAGAAAAAAGATCATTAATAATGATAGGAAAAAATTATTATTAAGGACAAGGATGTATAGCTGATTATTATTATTGTCAGTAAGTTGAACAGGTATAAAAAACTGAACTGATTAAAATATGTTAACAATCCACAGAGTATAGCTGAACAACCTCAAATCTACTGTAATATAAAGAGGAAAAAATAAATAAATCTAACTTAATATCATTAGAAACATAATAAAATAAAAAATAAATTAACTTTGCATGGTGTACAAAGTTAATATTCCATAATGAATTAAGAAATATTGCCTGTGGTCTTTTAATTGAAAGTAATTTATTGCTTAATTATTCCAATAGAATTTTAAATAATGTAATATCCATATACCTCTGGTATTTGTAGCCATTCAATAAACTTCTTTGAAAAATAAAAAATATACCAAAAATTTAATGGAAGCAAAAATAAAAGCAGAATAAATACATACATTCTAGAGGTTAGAATTTTTATACATTTTCAAAAGTTTGGTTATTTAACTGCATGAATTCTGTGACTTGAATAAAAAAAATTCCATTTAAAGAAGATTCAGCTAATTTTATTGCTAGAATTTCTAAGTTCAATCATTTGAAAATAAATTGTTGTTGTGTTGTTGAGTCGTACCTGACCCTCCAGCGGGTTTTCAGAGTTAGTTAATCACACGGGAGGAGATTGCCTATCCTTCACCTGCAAAGCAGCTGGTGTATTTGAACTGCGTGCCTTTGGAATTGCAGCACAGCTTCTTACCACTAGGCCACCAGAGCTCCCTCTTGAAAATAAATTAGTGTTTTATTTTCATCCTCAATACCACTATGTTTTATGCACACCCATGTTTATTGCAGCTTTGTTCACAATAGCAAGGAGTTGGAAACAACCTAAGTGCCCATCAAAAAAAAATGGAGAGAGAAGCTGTGGTATATTCGCACAATGGAATACTATGCTGCACTGAAAAACAAGGAACTCCAATAATGTATACTGCACTGAAACAGAGGAGGGAGAAAACTGTTTAAAAGAGATATATAACTAGGTATTTCTGTCATCACAGGAGACTAGAGCGAGGGCTACATGGTGGAGGGGACCTGGGGGAGGGTTTGTAAAACAATGAAAGAATCTTTTCTTTTACTTTTCCATAATTTCTGGACTCATGTACTTATAACTTGTTAGTCAAATTTGTGTCTTCTAGGTTGCAACACCCCCATGATACATCTTCAAGGATATGAACATGTACGGCCAAGCACAATCAATAAGAGTGCATCTAAATTCCAAAATCAATCTCCATAATAGTCTATGTGTTTCCTACTGCCAAAGGGGCCCTTTAGAGTAGTGAGAGAAGATCTTCACCCTGAAACCCACAGCGTCCCTCTTCAGCAGGGAGTAGCTAAGAGAATACGCCATCCCCTTTTCCTTATGACTCAGGGTGAAGTCTCTCTCAGGGAGGAGTGATAGGGAATGGCAAAGGACGCACTGACAAAGAAGATTAATCAGAACTGGCTTTGACAAGCACTGTGGCATTTGGACAATTAAAACAGATATTCGGGGGGAGGGGAAGAAGAACGAACTGGGGAGGAGGGTAGAGAAAACAGTGCAACAATGAATGAATGAAAACCCAAAATCTCTGTAAATGTTGATTAAAACTAATAAAATTTAAAAATAATTAATAAAAAAATACCACTATGTTTTGCTACCTAGGTTCTGCTACTCCACTGGCAGGCCAAATATCTTTTAAAAATCTTCTGAGCTGTCAAACAGCAATAAATTATACTGGCCTGAACCCCACTACCATCAATTCAATTCCTACTCATAGGGAACCCTTAATTAGGTGTCTAAGGCTGTAAATCTTTACAGAAGATACTGCTCATCTTTCTCTCACAGAGCAGCTAGCTAGTAGATTTAAACTGCTGACCTTTTGGTTTGTAGTGCAATACACAAAGTCTTGAAGACATGTGCTACTGCTAGATGCTGTCATATCGACTATGATTCATAGTGACCCAAGAGCAATTGATAAAAACCTTGTCCCATCTTGAACTATCCTGAGGATATTGTTTTGTGTTATGTGCCATCCAATACAAATCAACTCAAAGTTGACCCTCCAGCAGGTTTTCAAAGACTGTAAATTACACAGAAAACACGGTCTTAGAAACCAATGTATAACTTTATTGTGATGCTACAAGAAAATGGCGAATCACTACACAGACAGACATTCTGATGGTATCAAGTGATTGCCAACCTCTAACTTAGGCTTAATCACATGCACTAGAGACACAAGAATCCATTGTTTTCTACTTGAACATTAGCCAAAGCAGGCTATCCTTTAGTAAAGAGCTGCGCTGCCATCTCAAAGCCATATGGTACAAATCCACCAGCTGTTCCACAGGAAAAAGATGGGCAATCCACTCCTATGCAACTTATTCCTTCTGAAAACGCACAGGAGGGTCAGCTATGGGGCAGTTCCTACTCGACAGTACAAAACCACAACAATGTTTTTATAATACTGTCATATCTTTAACAATCATCACCACCATCATCTCATCTCACTGCCACTGATTTGGAACCAACATAGCAAACCTCCAGCAATTTTTGGAGGCTGTCAATCACATAGGAGGAGATGATGCATTTATCTCCCGTGGAGCCACTGGTGGATTTAAACCCCCAGGGGGAGAGAGGCCCTATCCTAATTTGTCTTGTTTTGCTTACATTACAAACAACCATCCTTTTCCTTTACAGGTAGTAGCATGTAGGAGTTGAATTATACCTGGCTCAAGACAGTCAACTGTGCACATCTCTTGAAAAGTCCATGTTGAGTGACAATGCTGACAGGCTGAAATTAGCCATGGTATTTCCCTCAAGGAACTGCTTTTCAGACAGGCAGCCATTGAACATTTGCCAGCATGTCATTGATTCCACTATAAATCATTTCATTTCATTCCAGTAAACTCCTAATATCCTGAAGATGAGGTAATCCATGGACTGACACAATTTAACTTACTGTTGTCAACCACTGCTTAATTTTTTTAAAACAAACTGAGTCACAAAAGGTAATCTTGATTTAATGTACCTGCAAATGTCAGAGAATTGAATGTGCCTCATTCAAATAAGTAATTAAAGCTTGAATTTTTAAAATAATATCTTCTGATTATACAGCAATATTGTATATCCAATATTAAATTTTTTCTTAGGTAGTAACATCCAAAAATGCTCTTCTACATGTCCTTTCAAATTATCAGTTTTGAGAAGATATATTCATATGTTATTTTATAACCTCCAAAGATGCTCTTTTACATGTCCTTTCAAATAATCAGTTTCAAGAAGATATATGTTATTTTATAAGTTCGTTATTTAGGAGAAATCTTTATCCTAGCTTTTAGGCTATTATTTATTTTTACCTCCAAACCTTGAGTATCTGCTGACTCCATCTCATTTTTGACATCCTTCACAGGCAATGCTAAGCCTTCACACTGAAACAAAGCAATAGTGTAAGCAAAATCTCTAAAGCTTTATTCCAAATTTATCTGGGTATGTGCCTTAGAAGCTAAGAGGATTCACTTGCACATATGTTAAATTTACTGAGATTTATTTTTCAGTTCTAAGGCATAATGCAAAGGTCTTCTAACCAGACTAGTATAACAAATAAAGCCAGAAGAGCTAATGTTTTCAACCCACTAGTTCAAACAACAAATGGCAGAATGTTATCATTAAGGTTAAAGAAAGTTTCCCAAAGTCTGCTTCTAGGGGAACAAAGGACTATAAATCAGCATTGTCTGACCTTTTAAAGGACATGAATATCCTAAAAGTAAAGTTGGCTATATATAACCCAAAGGTTTAATAAAAAATAATTATGTAAGTTGTATCTTATTATTCTCTCTAAAAAGAAAACTTCTTCTTTAAACCTATTTATCAAAGAAGCATTTATAGTAATTGGCCATTAGAAATTTTCAATTCTAATCCAAATTATATAATAAATAGGAAATATTAACATCTTCAGTATATGAAGAGAATGACCATCCATAAATGTAAAATAGGTTCCATCAAATATATTATGTATAAAATTTGGCAAAATGCACTTAATTTCAGTGCTCTGGAAAAAAGTGTGTTTAAAAAGCTATTTTGCTCAACCTACCCTCTGAGAACAAGGAAAAATGTTGGCCATCAAAGCAGAATTTGAGAGAAAAGATAACATCTCCATAAAGGCAAGCCCATTCAGCACTGCCAGCATCCTTTGGCTCACAGTTGTATTATTCTAATCTCCGCTTTTGTCTTCACTTTGCTCCCTCCTGATTTTCATCCTTCTCCTGCCTTTTATAGGGATCTTGTGGAGGGTTGGAGAAAGAAAGAAGACCCCTGACCAGGTGGATTGACACACTGACCGCCACAATGGGCGCTACTTTATCAGGAAGTGTGAAGATGGCACAGGATAGGACAGGGTTCAGATCTGTTGTTCACAGGGTCACTATGAGTCGTACTCAACTCAAAAGCACCCAACAACAACATAAAGATAAGACCTGACCTACGCTAATATTAAGACTGCTTACTAAAAGACATCATTTGATGGGGGGGTGGGGCAAAACAAGTCATAATTACTACATACCAAAAAGAGAATCACATCTTTGAAAATGTAAAATGCAAAAATATAGTTAATGTAGGCAATTTCACTACAGAAACCTTACCTAATTTGTTATGTGCCATCATATTGTCTCTGTCTCATAGCAAACCTCAGTAGAGCAGAATAAAGCCTTGCCTGATCTGATCCTGTGCCATCCTCACAATCTCTGCTGTGCTTAGGCCTACTGTTGTAGTCACTGCACCAATCCACCTCACAGAAGGGCTCTTCCTCTCTCTCACTCACCCTCTTACTGACCTTTTGCTGAACACTCACCCTCTTACTGACCTTTTGCTGAAGGTGATGTCCTTTTCCAAGGACTGTCTCCTTCTCCTAACATGACCAAAGTATCTGAGCTGAAGTCTCATCATCCTTAAGTCTCATCATCCTTGACTCTAAAGGATTAGCCTCTGGCGAATCACAATCAAAAATCATTATTTATCTACAATAGTTAAAATTAATAAAAGCTGGTACTGTTAAGCTTTGAAGATGAGAAGCAACTAAAGGTCCATGCTCTACAAACAAAGTGTAAATGACATAAATATATCTATACTGAAAACTGCAAGTCTAAATTTAAGATAAATGTGAACACTTTTCAAAGATTACTTACCTCCTTTTGAATAAGGCAATATTTTTCAAGCAGTTTACATTTTTCATCAATTAATGCAGAAAGCTTTAGAGCAAGATTTTGCTCTCGCCCTAAAGAAAAATATTATCATGTTTAAATTATGTTTAAGCTTTAAAATAATGTGTAATTATCAGATTCAAAGAGAAAATATATGCTTACCCACATAAAGTCGGCTTCTAACCTGAAATAAAGTTTTAACAGAAATTATAACAAGTATACATTTAAGTAAATCTAGCTTATTTATTTTCTAATGTCAACTTTAAAATACTTATTTTCTTTGCACATATTAGCCAAAAAGTGTTCTTTCCAATGAAAAAGTATGTTCTTTGTGCACTATTGTACAGAGGTAACTCATGGTTGCTGTGATGCTAAACACTGACGTGTCAAATGCGATAATGGTTACCCATGGTGGACAGTGTTTGGTGGAGTTTCTGGAGTCAAGCCATTTCGGAAGTGGATGCCACTCCTGCTTTCAAGCTTTGGAACTCTATGAACAGTGCTCAGGGCTTTCACTCATAGGGTTGCTCTGAGTTGTCTATGACTCAACGGCACTTAACAACAACAACAACTACTGATGAATTTTTTTAGCATGTTCAAAGTTCTGAAGTGACATCTGTAATTTAATCTAAGCTTCTAAAACATATTTGAGCCTAAAACAATTTCAGGAAGCCCCAGTGTGTATTTGCCAAGGGTGGAGTAGGAGCTCCGGTGGCAGAAGTGCAGCAGGTGCTCTGCTAACCCAAAGGCTGACGGTTTCCAGCAGGTCAGAGTCACCAGCGGCTCTAAGGAAGAACAGACGGCAGTCTCCTCCCAGTACCATTTACAGCCTCATAAACTTGATGGAGGGTCAGAACCAACTGTACAGCAGTTGAGTTTGAGTTTTTAATTAAGGGGAGTTTGGCAGATTAAGCTTTGTGCTGAGTAGTTGGTGAGAGGTTACCAGATGCTCCGTGGAAAAAGATGATGCAGTCTCCTCTGGTTAAGGTTTATATTCTCAGAAACTCAATGGTGGGTCAGTATGAGTCAAAATCAACTCGATGGCAGTATTGATTCAATATTACCAGTGATGTGAACTATTATCATTGATCTGAACGATTACCATTGATCTGAACGATTACCATAGATCTGAAGTAGGAAAAAATAGCAAGCCAAAGCTTTTTCTTCTTTAATCAATCTCTCTCAAATAACAAAAGGGATCAAACTAAACCCAATACTGTGTGTCAGATTTCAACTCACTTTGATCCACTAATAACCCAGAATATGACTGTCCTCCAGGCTTTCTAAGACAAGCAGAATGCCTCATCTTTCTCCTGCACAGCAGCTGATGGGTTTGGACTGCTGACCTTTTTGGTCAGCAAATGAATGTGTTAGTCATTGCACCACCAAGGGGTCTTAGAAGACTACAGAAAGACGAAAAGTATAAGGATGCAAGAGACTTAATCAAATATTACCTAAAACAAAGTTGGCATGGCTTTTTGACATTAAAGACTTTAAGGAAAAAATACCATTAGAATTACAGATGGTCACTATTGAACACAGGTACAATTCACCAAGATGCAACAATTCTAAACATGTGTGTACCTAATAAGGTATCTTCGTAATAAGGTACCTAATAAGCAAAAATTTAAAGCAGCACAGGAAAAAAAGAATAAATCCATCACCACAGTAGCCGCCTTTCATTCCTGACAGATCAAACAAACACATAAAAAAATATAAGCGGTTCTCCTATATATATCTCTGTATGATTTCAATAAAAGTTGAGGCTTGATCGGAAAAAAAAAATATAAGCAAGTGTATGAATACCACACTTCTTAGTCAATTACCAAGCTCAACCTAACAAATCAAGATGAGATACATATTTATATAAATAAATGCTTCCAACCATGATTAATGAGACAGAATAAAGAAGGAAGTCCCACACATATGTAAAAATCTAAATCTAAGAGGCATCATGACAGATCAATGAGGAAAGAATAATCTAACAAATAGAGCTGGAAAAAAATGGTTATTGCTTAGTGAGAAAATATTACACCAAATCTCTACTTCTCATCAGATAAAAATTAATTCCAGGCAGATCAAAGGGCATCAGCAGTCAAAATAAAGTTATAGTGTCTCATCTAAAAATATGAGTAGTGTTACTGTTGTTGTTGCTGTTGTGTGCCATCAAATTTGAAACCACTCATATGGGAGCAGTTTTCAAAAGCAATAAAATACATGGGAGATTGTCCATCTTTCTCCATGGAGCAGCTGGTGGATTCAAACTGCATACCTCTGTGTTAGCAGCACAATTCCTTACCACTGAGTCATTAGAGCTCCCTAAAATATGGATAAGCCTCAGAAATCTAAGGATCCCCCCCCACTATAGATTTAAGGGGGGAAAAAATCCAAATGATAGTATCTTAGTATGAGAGACTTTAAAAAAAAAATTAAAAACAATTTACTGACATACTTTACTTTTGAGGAATATATGTAAACAAAATAAAATTATTTGAAGTAAAGAAATAACCAACACAAGATCCAGAACAGAGATTCCTAGTACAGGGAATTAGGAGATAAAAATGAAATTAAAAGGGGCAATCTAAATAAAAGTGCTATGTAAGATTTCCAAATGAATGACATTATTTGCAAATGCTTAGAATGTGATCGAACATAAACCTTCACCAAAGAGTAAGGAAAAAGATTTGGTTTTAATATTGGTATAGAATACTTCAATAATGTTTTTCTTTTATTATTACATTTTTTGCCTTAAGTTTTTCATTCGTATACATTGTATTTCACACATTCCTTCATTTACATTGTCTAATATGATCATCCCATACACTGTGTCTTATAAAACTAATCACCATTGATCTACACCCCCTATTATCCTGTCTTTTTCAGATCTCACTTTCCTAATTCCTTCATCCCTCCCTCCACACACCAAATTCTGTGACCTTATGACTTCCCTCCTCATCTACCCCAAGCCCCTCCCTTCAGTTTCTAGTACCTAGACATAATTTGTTAACTATTTGTCCAATATTATTATTATTATTTGTCCAATATTATTTTTCCAATCTGAAAACTTACAATAAACATTCTTTCAGTATAGCCTCAGTCACTTACCAACTGAAAACTCCTCCTCAAAAACAGTAAAACAGCGAGAAAAATGGCTGCACATGTCACCATCAATTCCCATGAAGAACCATAGAAATTAGAATCTAGTCTCTTATCTTCTGGCATTACTGCCATAACCTTTAAGAAGACAAAGATAATACGTTTTTAAAAGGCACTTTTAATAGAAACACAAGCACAAGTTTAAGTGGTAACTCTATACTCTTTTACTGAAATGGACTACCAGATCACCTCCAAACAGATTTGTTTGTTTGTAAACACTAACACCAAAGGATTAAGGATAGCAGCATGGTGAAATGCAATCATTTTTTTATCTGCAGTTCCAGTGAGGTGCCTCAAAAGTCTGAGGATACGAGTGGAGAGAGGCAGAAGAAAGAAGCTGAGTGAAAAAGAGATTCATGTCTTCTTATTCTGACTACAACCAGCTTAAGTTTTAACTATAGATTACATTGGAGTTTCATATAAGATTTACTTAATGAAATAAAAATTATTCTGAAGCTCTGGAGGAGAAAAAAGTAATGAAAAAGTAAACAAATATGTTATCACAGTCATCCCATGAGATAAAGAAATAGATGGTAGATAATGTACCTCTGAAGAAAGAAATCAACATGTGCAGGAGAGGAAGACCCTCTATGAGGTGGATTGATGCAGTGACTGGGGCAGTGGGGGTAGATGTGTCAGAGACAGTTATGATTGGCACAGGACAGAGCAGGGTTTAGGGCTGTTGTACATAGGGTCGTTATGAGTCACAGGCAACTCGACAGCACATAACAATTTATCTTTAATGTCAAAACAGTTGTTATATTCTAAAGCTTTTTACAAGTTCTTCTGTTTTAATACCAGTACAGCATCTGTGCAGTCACCAACGAACAAGCCCCTCACCCGACATCCTCTTACTGTGTCACAGTACAACTGTGTTCCACAGGGTTTTCTATAGTTGATTTTTCACAAGGACATCACCAGGGTTTTGGTGGCACTGTGGAGTAGAACCAAATCTGCATGTTTCCTGTTAACAGCTAAGTGTGTTAACTATTAGCACCACTCAAGGACTCCTCCATTGGAATTGGAAAAGCCCACTAACATTAAGCCAATTCTATGGAATAACCTAAGTTAGAGACTTAAGCTGGTTGGATCTGGAGGAAAAACTAAAAAATTTTTACGTCCCAAGGATTCACCCACATTTGATAATTCTGGTCTTATTATTCTGGTTATTCAATAATGAATCGCATGTTACAATATTAAGACCATAGCTCTGGTCTTAATTATTCTTAATTATTTGATAATGAACTGTATGGAACCTAAACAGCGTTGACAACAGCATTTTTTTCTCACAAATTAAGAAACTATAACTATGTAACCATAAAGATTCAAATGGATTCTTTTTAAAAACTTTATTGTAAGCCTTTTTTTTTCTTTTCTTTTTATTATTTTTGTGTGTGTACCGTCAAATCAGACTGGTACAGGAGGAGATTGTCCCAACTTCTTCAGCAGAGCATCTGGTGGATTCGAACTGTGTACCTCTGGGATTGCAGTGCAGTTTCTTGCCACTAGGCCACCATACTGTAAGCCGTTTTTAAAAGCACACCTCTAAATATGTCAATAAAGGCACGTAAAAGCAATTAGGAGAAAAAACTCGACAACTTGGTCACAAACTCAATGTGCCTAAAATTTAAGGCATTTTTTTAAAATGGGAATTTGAGATTTTACGCTAACAAGATTCAGAAAAGAAGAGCAATCTCATCCATGGAAAGTATCTCATTGGGGTTTTTTAATAAAAAGAAAATGCAGAAGTGGAATCTCAACTACATCGTCCAAGCTTAGGTGTCCTGTCAAGACAAGAAGTTTAATCACTGGATGCAACTCATTGCAGAGGGTAAGTCCTCAAGTTTCTCATAATTGCGGGAAACTCGTGTCACTGTCTCCTGCTCAACATAACACGATGGTAAAGCTAATTCCTCCAGGAATTAGGAAGCATTTACACCTGCAAATGCTTTCTCCATCTTCCTGAAAAGACATCAACCCATTCCTGATCTCAAGATCTCCATACACATACACACACACAAACTGTTCAAGTACCCTACGAACCTGGCTACTGACTTGGGCACAGGCCAGAGCCCGGTGGCAGGTGAAGACTGGCCTCGGGACCTCCGGCCACTGCTGCTCAAACCCCAAAATCAGAGACCGCCGCTTCCTTACCCGGGCAGATCCTGCGACCCCTGGGCCAAGAAGCCATGATCGCGCCCGGACTCACCATGCGCAGCTTCTCCAGAACCAGCCCTAAGCGCGGCTGGGGGGCTGCCCTGGGCCCCTCTATAGCGCCCCGGCTGCTCCGGCTGTCACAGCTGCAGCCCCGGCCTGACCCCACCACAACCAGCCGAGCCGCAGAGAGCACACGGCTGGGCATCCGGAACCCAAACCTGCAGCCGGAGATCGGAGCAGACCACCGCGGAACCGGCTTAGGGGAGTGAGGGAAACGGGGACTGGCACCAGAAGTCCTTCTAAACCCGCGCTCCCGGCGAGGAGAGACGGGGCCGCCACTTCTTACTGCACGTCCCGAGGCTTGGCGGCTCGGAGCCCGATCCGCGGAAGTGTGCAGTGGCCCTTTGCCTCGCTGTCCCCCCACTACCTCCCTTTGGTTGCGGCCGGGCGGCCGCGGGGAGGCGGGGAAGCTCCGAACACTGTAAACTTCCTCTCCTTCCTCAAGCGAGGTTGGTAGACGTGTCCTGGTGGTTCGCTCTTAAAGGGACAGGCGCTCTACCGAGGGAAGCCATCTCCTCAGGGAGGTGGAGGGACTTTGAGACCGAGAGTTTGAGGTTGGGCTTCCGACAGCTCAAGGCCGCAGACTTTCTACTGCACAGATGTGCGCTTTGGCCTTGGAGTCCCCGACTCCGGTGGCCGCGGCGCTGCGGAGCTTCTCCAGTAGGTCATTAGCTGCTGTCTCATCGTGTGAACGCAGCGCACCCCCCTAAATCCAGGTCCCAGCACTGTGCTCCGCCCCAAACCCAAGCCCTTCGCTCCCCGGAGCCCCCTAGACCCTGCTATTCACACCCGGAGTCCTACCGCATTCAAAAACGGCTGCGAGCACTCCGCCGGGCCACACAAGCCCGCGGGCGACACCGCCTTCATGATGTCAGAAAAATTAAGCTGGCACATCATGCCAGCGTATAAGAACTTCGGACATTGGACTGATCAGCCCAGGTCGCGACAAAGTTCAGTATCTCTCAAGCCAGAGAGCATCGGTCAGGTAGGTCTCCTCGCTCAACAGAGGATACCAAAGTGACCACGCACGGTAACCAGAGTTACTCGGGCAGTTGCTAAGCAGACCGTCATAAAACTCCATTATTACCTAGTTACCAGGCGTTAGATCTGGCTCACGTGAACCTGGATTTAGTGCGTGCTCCTCTTCGTGCAGAAGGCGAGCTGAAAAAAGCAACTTGTCATCTAAATTTAGGGCTCTATTTTTAAGCCTGCTGACATCAAGTATGGGCTTTTAAACCTGTTCGCGGAAGAGAGTTTCGGCAGACACAGGTGTAAAAAATAATCAACTCTTACAAATACTCCTGATAGCATAATCACGAGAGGATCAGAATCGTAACACTAATTTCCTACTGTAAGCAATTGGAAAAACAGTATTATTGTGACAAAAAGAATCAAAAAATGATCCCATTTCACATCAAGGAACTGCCAGAAACAAAATGCCGCCTACTATTTGGAGAACTCAACGTGTTCTTTTTCCATTTGCCACATCAGCCTAAGGAGTTTTTGGAACTGCCAGTATCAGAGAGGGTTAATAAATTGCTTAATAATGATCCTCCTATTAATTACACAACTTTGATTCACCTTGGACAGTGTGTTTTGAACTTACATTATGTGGCTAGTTCATGAAAATAAAAACTATGTTAATAATTTATTAAAGTCAAAACAACCAAAATAAAAATTTTCTGTTCAGAGGGCTCAGTTAAAACATTCTTTTACTTAATACAAACTCATCAGTGACTCACTGTTTTCAGGGGTCACCATAATAATTTTCAGCTTTCACAACTTATTTATCATCTATTACATTATATATACAGTATTGGTAGATAGATAAGCATAATCCCTTCCTCTCTCTCATGCAATCTAAGCTCATTTCTAATTATAGATTATAAAAACAAATCAAGGGCAACACTAAACAACTCAAAAGTTATCTCCAAAGCAAAACTGTGGTAAAACTTAACCAGCTCTGTGCCAATATTCCAAGCTAAATTTCTTTCTGTGCACTTAATAGAAATAGAAACTTACCTCTTCCTCAAGATCTTTCGATTCCATTTTTTAAAAATCTCATGTTAAAATACCTTGACATGTAAGTCACATTCTACTAAGAACCCAGTATTCTTGAGAAACATTCTAGAGTCTGATATATCCTGCACCCTCTTATTTCCACCCAGTGATCCTGTTTTGACACTTGTGTGGCAAAAGGGGTGCCACAGGTGGAGTTGTGACTACCAACCCAAAATTCAGTTTCATGGACATCACTATCAAAATCTGTGTAATATTTACATAAAGAATATATATACACATATATGTACATGCTATTTGAAACATAGGCATTAGTGCCTTCTTAAAATACACAATTGAAAAGAATAATCCAAATTTGATAATTTGTCAAAACTAAATTGGACATTTTAATCTATAGCCTATCAACTCATTACTGTCAAGCCAGACTGACTTACAGCTGGCAAAGCTGACTCATAGCTGATCCTCCAATGGGTTCAAAGTCTCTAAACCGCATGAGAGGAGATTGCCTATTTTCCTCCCTCAGAGCAGCTGGTGGATTCAAAATGCCTGCCTTACTTAGCAGGGCATCAGACCTCCTTCTATAGTCTGTAATCTGTTCATATATATTTACTTTCTAGTCTGTGAGAGCTTGGTGTCACAGTGATTAAGTGTTCAGCTAGCTGCTAATCAAAAGGCTGGCAGTTGTAACTCACCACGCATTGATAGTTTCCCCAAAGATTTGCAGGTTTGGAAACCCACAGGACAGTTATATTCTGTCCTACAGGATCACTATGAGCCGAAATTCAATTTGACAGCATTGGATTTTGTTTTGTTTTAAAAGACTATAATTCACCTTGAGTACGTGATTTTTACATCTAAAGGATATTCAAAGATTGTTTTACATAAGTGAGCATGAGGCTTTTACTGTCATATAAAGAACTTTCTGTAAAGGAAATAGATTGTGCATATATATCGGTGTTTGTGATAGCTACCAGGAGGCACCTAAAACACTGGAAACATGCCAACCAGTAAACCTCATCCGTGACCCAGAAACTGATCACATGATGAAGGGCCCCCTTGCAAATCTCTAACTACTGTCTACTCCCATTTAATGAAATAGTCAGTGTCACAGACTGTAAGAGCCAGTTTTTTGGAAGAAAATCAAATATTGCCAAGCCAAATTTTTACTACCTACCTACTAGTGATATAAGAATTGTTCTCAGGGGGGAGGGGGTGGGAGAGATTGTATACCAATGAAAGAATTTTTCTTTTACTTTTCAAGAGAAGAGCAAACTGGGGGGAGGGGCGGGCAGGGAGAAAAATGCAACAATGAATGAATGGAAATCCAAAATCTATGTAAATGTTCATTAAAATAATTTTTTTAAATAAAGAATTGTTCTCAAAATCAGGAGCAACCAGTTCAATAAGGTCTGAGTCATTTCCATTGTTTATTCCACTTATAAATGAAGTATTCTAATAAACTGTGTAAATGCTAGAACTCAAAGAACCTCAGCAACTAATAAAATAAATAAAAAGCAACTTGATTACTATCACTCGACTATTACCTCAGTTAGTATCTGTGAGAAATCTAAATAAAATTACCAGTGAACTGAAAAAAATACCCAAAACGTTTAGGCATGGGGAGGGGAAACCAAACACATTTTCACTTAAATTAACTGCTGCTATTCTAAATTTTAAAATTTAGAACATTGAAGACTACAACCTTCAATATGAATCACATGTTAACATAAAAAAAAAACAAAAATCCTCATCATTAGACCAATAGACAACAAAATGATGGATAGAAGATTGAAGTTGTCAACAGTTCCATTTTACTTGGATCTGCAATTAATGCCCATGGCGATAACAGCAATCCAGAAACCAAAAGTTGTGCTGCCCTGGGAAAATGTGCTCTCAAGGACTTCTCCAAAATTCTAAAGATCAAGAATGTCAGTTTAAATACTAAGTTGTGCCTGACACAAGTCATGGTGTTTTCAATTACTTCCTAAGCATCTGAAAGTTAGGTAATAAATCAAGATGACCAAAGAAGAATTGATGCCTTTGAATTACAGTATTAGAGAAGAGTACTGAATATCCAACAGAATGTGGAAACTACAGAACAATCTCACTGATTTCACATGCAAGCAAGATTTTACTGAAGATTATAATAAAACGACTGGAACAGCACATCAACAGAGAACTACCAGAAGTCCAGGCTGGGTTTAGAAGGGGTCGTGTACTAGAGATATTGTAGCTGATGTTAGATGGATCTT